GGTTCCAGGACCTTCAAAGACTAGCCATTACGAAGCCCTGGCATCTCCCTCCACAGGAGGACTTGTTAACTCAAGGGCCGACAAAACATCTGAGGCTGGAGTTACTCACTCTAGCAGCATGGAGATTGAGTGGGAAATGCTAGTGGGGGCAGGTTATCAGGTTAAGGTCATAGACACCATGCTGGCGTCTAGGAAGGCTTCCACTAATAAATCATATGAGCATACCTGGTTGGTTTTCCACTCCTGGTTCATGCACCAGAGGATAGATCCCCTCAAGGCTTCCGTTAAGTCAATCTTGGTTTTCCTTCAGGATGGGCTAGATAAGGGCCTTAGCACTAGTACCCTTAGGAGACAGGTGTTGGCCATCTCTGCTGTCCAGGGAGCGAAACATGGTGTCACTTCTTAGGCATCCTCATATTAGAAGGTTCCTAAAGGGGGCTTCTTTCCTTAATCCCCCACCTGTTCACAGGTTCTCTACATGGAGCCTTAACACAGTATTGAGAGCTCTTTGTAAACACCCTTTCGAGCCAATGGCCTCCTGTCCTCTTAAGGAGTTAACGTTCAAAACCCTATTCCTCGTAGGTATTACATCAGCTCGCAGGGTTTCCGAATTGAGAGCTTTGTCAGTTAATAAGGAAATGTGTGTCTTCCATCGGGACAAGGTGGTCCTTCACATGGACCCAGCCTTTGTCCCGAAGATAAACTCAGTTTTTCATAGGACAGAGGAAATCGTTCTGCCATCCTTTTGTGCCAGTCCACAACATGAGAAAGAGCGGGAGTGGCACTGCTTAGATGTCAGGAGGGCCCTTAGTTTTTATATTGACAGGACCAAAGAGTGGAGAAAATCTGAAGTGCTCTTCGTGTCCTTCAGAAAATCTTCTTTGGGGACACAGATTTCCATTTCCACAATAAGTAGATGGATCAAGGGGTGTATAATCTTGGCCTATAAGGCAAAAGGGTTAGATCCTCCAGAGGGGATCATGGCGCATTCCCTTGGGGGGGCAGCCACATCAGTGGCATACCATTCGTTCCCCTCATTAGAAACCATATGTAAGGCGGCCACGTGGAAGTCAGTTCACTCTGTCACTAAACACTACAGAGGGCACAAATTGGCATCAGCTGAGGCCGCCTTTGGACGCAGGGTGCTTCAACACACTCTGTAAATGGGGATGCGGTTTTTCCCGCCGTGCAGTTTTCTGCTTTTCTACGTCCCAGACGTGAGGAATGTCCCACAAAGAACCACTGGAGAATGGAAGGTTTCTTTCACTTACCATGAATCTTCCTTTCTCGGTGGTTCTGAAGTGGGACATTCCTGCCCACCCTGGGTTTTTTTGGGGGGTGCGCCTCCCCTTTTCTAGTTACAGAATTGTGGGGAAGCAAAGTTGGTATGGAGTAGACCTTTTTGCCTTGGCGAAAAGTGCGTTTCTATTCTGTGTTCAGTTGATTATATTAGTTAGTCTCTCTATGTTTTGGGAGGATGTTTCCTTCTCTTTAGTGCCTTTCCGGCGGGGGTTCAATATAATGGGCTTGAAGATGACTGGATCGCCTACAAGGGGATAAGCCCCTCCCCTGTCTAGTTTAAAGTTGGAGCTGACCCTGCAGAAGGAGGCGGAGCTTATCCCAGACGTGAGGAATGTCCCACTTCAGAACCACTGAGAAAGGAAGATTCACGGTAAGTGAAAGAAACCTTCCATTCCCCATCTGTAACAGGGAGGCAGTGATTTGTTTGTTTGTTTATTTCCTTTTTGCTCTGGCCTTTCTCCCATTGACCCAAAACAGCTTGCGTTGTTCTCCTCTTTTCCATTTTATCCTCACAACAACCCTGTGAAGGAGGTAGGCTAGGCTGTGGGGCTCTCTGGATACTGGATACCTCTCAGGGTTGTTGTAAAATTGACTGAAAGGATGCAGAAATATTGGAAAGCCAGTGTGGTGGGTGTTGGACTGGAATCTGGGAGACCTGCATTCAAATTCTCACTTGCCATGACACAAGCTTTTAGGGTTGCTGTGAGAATAAAATAGAGAAGGTAGGACCATGCTTCCTGTTCTGGACTTCTTGGAAGCAAGGGTGAGATTAAAATGTATTCGATTGCTAGCACATGAGGCAATAAAAACACAGAAAAAGCGCTATATAAATGCTGAGTATTATTTTTATAAAAGGTTAGATTCCTTTATCTCCTATGGATTAGAAGAGCTTTAACGTTTACTTAAATTAGTCCTACTATTTTTAAGTAAATGTGACAAATTACTTCCTCTCTTTTAAACTGAATGGGGTTGGGTACATTTCTGTCTAGACACAGTGGGCCAAGCATGTCCCTCTTCCAACCCCCCCCCCCTTTGCTTTCTTTGGAAGTAGACCAAGGATAAATTTGGACCAGCATTTTATCTAGAGTGGGGGGGGGGGAGAAAAATCCTTGCTTCTCTTACATTATCTCTTTTGCTTTTAAGAGCTCAGAGAACGTTTCTGCTCAGGAGAGAATTCAAAGTGGTTGCAAGCCACTAGTGAAAGCTTTGTAATGTATTGTAGGAGACAGACAATTTTAGGAACTGAAAAGTCTCTCCCTGGTTATAAGAACTAATTTTGAACTGGGGGATGAAAAAGTTGCCCCTGTGCTTCAAAAGAAGACTTCTACCACAGTATTTAAATGTGCAGAATTGAATATAGATTATGTATTCTAATTCTTTCAAAATTGTATCTTTTGTAATAATCTGCAATCAACAGTGAGCAAAGTCCACAGCATGGGATATGGAATTCGGCTTCAGCAAAACAAACAGGGAAGAGCTTGTCTATTTGTTGAGCACAATTCAGAAATTTTGACCCATTCTCAGTGAGACCAGGGGTGCAACAAGGTCCAAATCCCTTTGCCCCCTGTGGTGACAGCAAAGGGGTTCTCTGGCATCTTGAACCCTTCAAGCAGCTCAGGCACAAGGGATTCTGGGATATCTTATTTCCAAGGCACCTGCATGTGGGGGGAGAGGTTACTGCATTTGCCACAATTAAACATCACATTTCCCATAATAATATTTAAGGCATCAAGGATGGGAGTCTCACAGAAGACTCCCAGAGAGATTTCTTTGCTGCTGTCTTCAGATAGTAAATGTGGAGGCAGGAAGGAAAAGAAATCTGAACTGGCAAGGAATTTTTGTGTTTCTAATGCTCGCCTTAGATTGAAGGTGGTTCTTTCAAAAAATCATAACCCAAATCTGTTAAATACAAATTCTAGCAATGTGTATAATGTTTGACCAGTCTGTGTAATGTATGAACTTGGCCTTCTGAGTCTCTCATAGTACTAAATAGTAAAGGTTTCCCTTGCTTGAAAGCTAGTCGAATTGGACTCTAGGGGGCAGTGATCATCTCAATTTCCAAGCCAAAGAGCCAGCATTGTCCACAGATGTTTCCATGGTTATGTGGCTGGCATGACTAAATGCTGAGGTGCACGGAACACTGTTGCCTTCCCACTGGAGTGGTACCTGTTTATCTACTTGCAATTTCTTGCTTTCGAACTGCTAGGTTGGCAGGAGCTGGGGCCAGAGGTGGGAGCTCACTCTGTCACGCAGTACTAGGGCCTCGAACTGCTGAACTACAGACCTTCTGGTCTGCAGCTCAGCGTCTTAACCTCTGAGCTACCGCGGCTCTTCTCGTAGTACTATGCTAAACTAAATCATTCCCTTTCAGGTTCATGGACCAGGGCCAGGGCCTTTTCAGTGGCGGCTCCTACCTGATGGAATGAGCTCCCGGAAGAGATCAGGGCCCTGCGGGACCTTTCACAGTTCTGCAGGGCCTGCAAGACAGAGCTCTTCCACCAGGCTTTCAACTAGGAGTCGCCACTACCAACACCACCAACTATTTTGTGGTAACAACGGGGTAATGGGATGGCCCATTATAAAGATCTTGCCACAGTATCACGATGGATCGGTACCGCTGAATCGGGCTTTTGGCTAATATCTGTAGGTCACCATCTTGATTCGATCTGCATGATGAACATCACTGAGCACTTTATTATTGTTAATTATGGTTGTTTTTATTATGTTTTATATTGTTTGTAAGCCGCCCTGAGCCCATTCGCGGGGAGGGCAGGATAGAAATGCAATACATAAATAAAGAAATTGACTTAGAATGGTATTTAGGATTGCACTGTTAGGCACTGTGCTATGTCAGCCCTCTGGATGCAATCTCAGAAAGGCTGCAAGCCAAAATTTTATTCCATGGTCCTATGCCCTCTGCCTAAGGTTGCCAACCTCCACTTAGGGCCTCTCCCAGAATTACAGCAGATCTCTGGACTACAGATGCCGGTTCCCCTGGAGAAAATGGCTGCTTTGAAGGTCCCCCACCCTCCCCAGGCTTTGCCCCCAATCTCCACAAATTTTTTAATCTGGTGTTGGCAACCCTGCCCCAATGTGATGTATTTACCTACTGGCACCAGTAATAGGAAATAAGGACTGAAAGCCACCTGACTCATATGATAGGTCCTGACCTATAGGCCCACCCCACCTCAGCTAGCGGGAACCATCATCCACACCGTGCTGATACCAACTTTGGCAAAGAAGGAGGCAGGTGGAGTCCCCAAGGCACAGCTGAGCTCATTGTTGCGTGGGTCTGGGAGAGAGACTCCACCTTCCCCAGTGTCTAATTTCTTCTGTGCTAGGATGTACAAGACCATCCATTTTCTCTGTATCTCCTGGCCACAAACCAGTGGCTCAATCTGTTTTTATTTCTATCATATGAAAATAAAGTTTTGGCTTTGATAGAAGAAACATGACGTGGCTGTTTAAGTCTCTTTTTAAAGGACTAGATTAAGCAGCGTTCATGGCTGACTCCTTGTTCAGCTGACAGCAGCTGTTACCGCTGAAAAAATATAACATATAATGAAGTCTGCTTGCCTGCCTTTTTTTACGGCTGTGTCTTCATCACTTCTTACAACCTGTATTTAGTGCGTGCCAATTTTTTTTGTCTTGCAAGGATTTGCCTGAACTCAGTGAACGGCACTGTTTTTCTGTTTCAGTGGTTGAATCAAAGACATTACAGGGAGACAGCAGAGAACACAGTTTTGACGCCCCCGGAACGTTCATTGTTGAAAACACAACTGTTGAATGTCAGAAGAGTTTGGACAGAGAAACTGTAAAAATTCAAGGTCCCCTTGGAGCTGATTTCATTATCAAGGTAAGATGTGCATTTGTGTGCAATCTGAGTTCTGTTTGCCAACACACTTGAAATAGCTGGAAATAAATGCTCATCTAAGTTAGGACATATCTAGATAGCTATCAAACTTTTGGCTTCAAAGATGAGCCAGTATTTTTGGCAAGCAGGCTGCAGTGAGACACTTAGCAAGAAGGCCAAACGTGATTTGGTGGTGAAAATATGGTGGCTCCCTCAGTAGAAGGTTGCTCAGACTTGGGAAAGGCAGCTGACCTGGGAACTTTGTATCGTACTGGATTGGCCCTCTTGTATCACCTGACTTCCCAAGCTAAGCTAGGAAGACTCTAGGCTATGATGTGAATGTCTCACCTGGATCAGTCAGGAGTTCTCTCCTCCATCCAGCAAAGAACGAACATCTCCTCATTTGATCTCTTCAGTGCCTGACAGAAGTATATTAATGGCATGCAGATCTACAGGAGCCTCTTCCATGATCTGTAAATTTTAGAGGCTTCATGTGATAGAGCTGGGAAGACATGGGGTTTGAATTACAGAATCTCTAGGCTCAGGCTTGGGAATTATTGATAGGAATAGAGTATACCACCCCATCCAATTCTTCTTTACCCTCCCTTTGGTGAACTTCAGATGCAACATCAAACCTTTATTGGTACAAGAATGAACATGGGGGATTCTTGGACTTGCTTGCTTCCTGCTTCCTTTGAGTGCAGATCGATAATAAAATGTTTCTACTTTTGTGGCAAGCCAAAGCAAATTATAGACTACCATTATTTGTTGTATCTGAGCCACAAACTGTGGTTTTTGCTATCTTATTTCCAAATCAGGATTTCAAACTAGTGTTAAATCAGAGCATGCAGGATTTCTGAAATGACAAACTGTGCTTTGTCATTGTGTGTAAAGCATTCCATTGTCTCAGTTCAAATTGTGTCAGCCAAAGGCTACATTCTGATGTGCCAGGTCCATTCATTATGGCACTACCAGAGTAACCACATTATCTAGAGTATCCAGACCCATCTTGACCAAGGCAGGCCTGCTTCCTGTCAGAGCCTGAAGCACACCAGGTGGCCATTTAGCTGTCCTCTGGGAAGTCTGTCTAGGTAGACAAGAGCTTAGCTAGAGATCATGAGTTCAGGCTTCACCTGGCCCCCCCCCCCCCCCCCTCCCATTGTGGCTCTAACATCAAACTTTAATGGAACCAGAAAGAGAGCAAAGTTCATTTGAGAATATGGAGCCAGACTTCTTGGTACATTAGAAGGAGACGCTGTCATACTCCTGAACCCTTGACTGTGGTTAAGAAATTGGGAGTGATCCATGGGAACTTCTCTGCAGGTTCCTGGCTCCCTTTTCGCTGCTTCCCTCTACCATGGCCAAGGCTGGTTGCTGGCACCAGCCTTAACCATAATGAATGCAAACCAGGTTCTCTTGTGAACCAGGAATTTGAAACCAAGTTCCCTTCTTGATTAATACCAGAACCACATAAAAAGATCCTGTTTGGATCAGGCCAAAGGTTTATATAGTCTAGCATGCTGTTTTCAGTGGTGACCAAACAGATGTTTCTGGGAACATTACAAGAAGGGCATAACAGTCATAGCCTTCCAGTCTTGTTTGCTCCTGGCAGCTGATATTCAGAAGGATCCTGACCAAAACAAGTGAATCAAGTTCTCAGTAAGTCATCACAACGTTTTGGTGTCGTACATTCCAAAAGTGAATTACATGGTTGTGAGAGAAGGACTTTCCTCCTTTCATCTGTCATGAATCTGTTGTTCTTCGGTTTTGTTGAGTGCCTTGCTGATACTATGGCTGTGGTTACACGGCAAGGCAATTGCGCTTTCTTCCCGATGTAATTAACACCGGAATATTTCCCCCCCCGAGTTGGGATGTTCACACATCCCTCCCTGAGCTGCAAGCTCACCTTCCCAGCCTGCCCACCTCCCCTCCCCCAGCAACTTTCCAGCCACCGGCCCAATGAAAAGAAAAGGAAAAGGCACCTTTAAGAAAAGGAAAAGGCAGCTTTGAAAGAGTTCTCCTTTCCGCCCGATGCTGCTGGCTAGCTGGGCACGCTCCCCGGCCCTGGGGGCTCCCTCCCTCCCTCCTAACGCCGCCGCAGCTTCGGGAACTCCTGGGGGGAGGATGCCAAAGCCCGCTCGCCTGACAGCCCACCCACCCCCTTCCTCCCCCAGAAACGTTCAACGCCGCCTCCATGCCGGGGGACGACGGGCAGGACTTTTCTCCAAGCAGGATGAGTGCTTGTTTACTCAAGCGCCCAGCAGGAAGGTGCACGGCGCGAGCCACTCGTGCTGCTCCGGCGCCGTCTCCGCCACCTGCTTGCCACCCCCATCTAAGCTGCCGGAGCCCCCACCTCTCGTTCCTGCCTCCACGGATGCTGTAAGCACTGACATTATTATTATTTTTTTTTTAAAAAAATTGACTTCTTAAGCGAATGCCTGCCCATGCGCTCAAACCGGAAGCTTTAAAAAAAAAAAAACTTCAGAGAGTGTTCAGACGGCCCTATTTGCAATCATTGCGAAAGAGGGCTGTTCACATAAGTGAAATCGCGCGTTCAAAGCGCGAGATCCAGGAAAGTACTTGATTTTCCCGGGGTCAGGAAAACCCGCGGGTATTGCGCGAGTGAGCCTGCTTTGATGCGGGACGCGGATTGGCGCGTGTAAACAGAAACTTAAAATGCGGGAGGAAACAGCGGCGAATCCCGATCAAAGGGACAGTGTGAACGCAGCCTATGAGAGAGGAGGAAATCTGTCTGTCTGTGGTAGTTTTTAATGCATCTCTTTCATGTCTCTATCCCCCCCCCCAACTTAAAAGACTTATACACTTTTTGTCTTTGCTTATAGGGAACATGATCCAGTCCCTGGCTCGAGCCCTGTTTAGCATTAACCTTAAATATCCAAGGGGAAGGGCTTCAGAATTTGCACAAAGGGGAGAAGCTGGGAGGAGGGAATGCATAGCCTCCATTTTGAGTCCTGCTCTCAAGTTGGCCGTTTGGCCAATCTGGAAAGGTTTGGTCAAGTGAAGGGTTAGGTAACATTTCATTTGATCTGAAAACATTAACCTTACCTGAGTAACAGAAGTAAGACATTGTAATCATCAGTCAGTTTGGTGCTTACAAAATCAGCAGTGCATACCTAAGCAGAGTGTTTTGGGCTTAATGGAATATTTGATGGTAGCCAAATGACAGGCAGTCAGTTGACCTTATTTGGCATCTTGCCAAACAGACCTGCTCCCAGTCCTGTGCCATTCTATATTTTCTCCCTGTGTAATGTTACTTTAGCATGTAGTTCTCTGTGCTGTGTTTGTACATGAATTATTCTGCGTCAGGCCACAGAGCACTGACGCAAGGGGTGCAAATCTGTTGTAATGGGACTCTCTTTAGGCCAGGTACATGGCCCCGAAAGACAGCGTGGTTCAGTTCTTCTTCTATCAACCCATCAGTCACCAGTGGAGGCAGACGGACTTCTTCCCTTGCACTGTGACATGCGGAGGCGGTGAGTTACAGATGTGGCTGGGAAATGTGTACAGCTGTGGATTGCCAGTGGTGGATTTACAGCTTTCTAACTGCGATTAAAAAAAAAAAAAGCTATAAATTCATGCTGTGCTGTAACTTTGGGACTCTTTCCTGTTTGCATTTTTTTTAAAGTGCAAAAGGTCAAAGCTTGCAGCTAATTAAGTAGTTATAGATATTTTTGGGATTTTCTTTTGTTCTGCTGTTCCATAAGAAAAATTAATCTGTTTTCAAATACCAACTTGGAGCACAGCTGACAACGGTGGTATTTCAGCAGTGGTGACATTTCCCCTGGTTTTTCACTTAAACAAAATAGTATTTATCCTTCTGTTCTTAGAGCCATATGTAAGGAACCCTTCGAACCAATGGCTTCTTGCAGTTTGAAGGCTCTCTCATTCAAAACAGCCTTCTTGATGGGCATTATGCCGGCTAGACGGGTTTCAGAATTAAGAACCTTATCCACGCACAAAGAATTGTGTGTCTTCCACAATGACAGGGTGGTGCTATGCCCAGACCCAGGTTTCATTCCTAAGGTGAACTCAGCCTTCCATAAATCTGAACAAATAGTACTTCCATCCTTCTGTCCCAACCCCAAGCATGCTAGGGAGAAGGAATGGCATTGCTTGGATGTGCACAGAGCACTTGGTTTCTATTTGGATAGGACTAAACACTCAAAAACCACAGATGCCCTATTTATCTCCTTTAGAAAGTCAGCACCAGGGAAAAGAATTTCTACCTTGACCCTGAGTAGGTAGCTTAGGGGGTGTATTATAGTGGCATACAAAGCTGAGGGGTTGGACCCACCTCAGGGCATCACGGCACACTCCTTGAGGGGGGTGGCTACGTTGCTGGCCTAAAGGGCTTTTCCGTCTCTAGAGACAATATGTAAGGCTGCTATGTGGAAGTCCTTGCACTCCTTTACAAGACACTACCAAACTGATAAGTTAGCTTTGGCTGAGGCAGCTTTCAGTAGGAGGGTGCTACAGCACACCATGTAGACCAGGAAGCTGCTGGACCCACCCTGGGAGGGCACTGCTTTGTTAAGTCCCAGGAGTCAGGACTGCCCCTCTCCCAGGACCACTGGAGAACTGACGATTTGTCTTCACTTACCATGAAGCTTCCTTCTCAGTGGTCCGGGAGTGGGGCAGTCTACCCCACCCTTGAGGGCAGCAGGTTCTTTGGCCCATGGAGGTGTGGGAGTCAATCAGGGATAGATATATACATACCAAAAAAAAAAGTAAAAGGACACAGAGGTGGTCAATGGTTCCATGGCCCCGTGGTATGGGGTGGAGAGGCAAGGCTATTATGTGGGCTTCAGTAGTTCTGTTGCAAGGGTTCTCATTATGTACATAGTTAGGGGGAGTTTTTTGTCCCTCTCGGGGAAGAGAAGCCCCCTTTTTTGTCTTTGAACACAGTTGATTCAGGGAGACACGGCTTGGAGAACGACTGGGGAATCAGAGGACAAGCCCCTCCCCTCTGGGACTGAGATTTGTTGGCCAGCCCTGCCTACCGAGAGGAGGAGCTGTGACCCCGGGAGTCAGGACTGCCTCACTCCCGGACCACTGAGAAGGAAGCTTCACAGTAAGTGAAGACAAATCTTCCGTTCCCATCTCCTCACTAGCTAACAAAGGCTTTCTGATTTGGGGAAGGAGCAAAAGACCGCTGTGGGTCTGCTCCTTTGTAATCATCATCATCATCATCATCATCATCATCATCATCTTTCAATTTATTGATCGCTCAATCCTTGCAGAGCTGCTGGCTCTGAGTGATTTACAGTTACTCATTTCACAAGGGACTAACAATGCTTTATAGGGGTAAGGGAGGACAACACATATAATCTTTACATAGCACACGTTTTGCAGCCGACGGGGATTTGTTCAGTTGCAACTCAGACGTGATCTGGACGGCATTTCAGCTCTTCCTCTCCAGGATTCTTCGGGTCGCAGCTCCATACTGCCACCGCCTGGCTGGAACGGCCCATTACAGGCTTCTTGATGCCGAAGAGATCTTCTAGGCTTTTGATCTTGCGAGCCAAACCTTCCGTTCGCCGGCAAACACCTCCCCCACGGGGGGGGGTGTTGGTGTGCCCACCCTCTCTAAGGAGTGGTACCCATTTTATCTACTCGCCGAAGCTTTCGAACCGCTGGGTGGACGGCAAGCTGGGGACAAGGCTGGTAGCTCACACCAGCGCGGGGCTAGAACTGACAGCAGTCCTGTTCAGCTCAGATGTTACTTGTAACCAGAGGATAAATCCCCTGTACCACTGCTCCCGCTTTGTCACAGGCTTGCCCCTCCTCACAGTAAAGAAGACAACCAATCATGAATTTGGATGCTCCATTAGCAAGTGAGATGGCACTTCAGTCCAGTTAGCAGCTTTTATTAAGACACCCCACCTCAAATTACACATAAGCATGTAGGCTTTTTAGTTCAGGAGAACTCTTCATCATGCCAGATATTGCAAAAAAATAAAATAAAAAAATAAAGAAAAAGCAAAAGCCAGACAGTGCAGGTACAGTGTTTCTGCATTTCTTACCTGAAGGTAGGAGATGAGGTAGGCTAAGGTATTCCCCATTCACTCTCTTCTTTGGGAAAGAATCCTTTCCATCAACTTTATGTTTCTGCTGGGCAGGAAGGGTGTGGGAGAAATTTCCTCCTGGTCCAGTGACAGCACAAGTCCATAGCAGTAAGTTCATAGTTTGCATACACACACAAAAAACACCAACCGGGGGAGAGAGCAGGTGGGTAGGTCAGCCCCAGAAGAGAGAGGCAGAAGGTCAGGGGCCAAGACTCATTCAAGACCTCAGAGGATTGAATTTATATGCTTTGAAAGCAAATATTGATGAGTACGTCTTGACTGGGCGGTTTAGGAATCTTGTTCTGTTGCTGATGAGTTTAAATGTTGTTAGCCGAATTGCTCTCAAAGAGAAACAATTGGAACAGTTTATCAGGATTCACCGTCTATGGTTTACGGAGGATGCTGCTGTTTCTGAGGTCCCCAATAAGAGACTGAGGCAGACTTCTTAATAATAATAATTGTTTACTAACACACTTCACACAGTAAGCACACAACAACCACAACACACAAGAACTAGGAAATACAGAGAGAATAATTCAGCACAGTTGCAATTTGCAGGTAACGTTGGTTGATGCTTTGGGGTATAATTACCTAGCTGCTCCTGCGTGGCTCCAAACTTCAAGCGAAGGGGTAAGGAAGGGGAGAAAATGGAAAAGAATAGCAAATGGACTCAGACCAGCTAAGACCACGTGCTAAGAAGTTCTAGCTGTGCACTGCTAGAACAAAGAGAGGGATGGGAAGGATTTGGGATAGAAAGCTGGATTGAAGGGTAAAGCAGGTTAAATAGAGGACGTAGTTTGAGAGCGCTGGGGGGTTTCAGGTAGAATGCTCAAGAGAGCGAACTGGAGGTGCGTTCCTGATTATATCAAACAGGGTCAGGGGAGGAGCTGGGGCCAGGAGACCTCCCCTGTGACGAGGCGTTCTGTCATAGCCAAGAGGTCTGGGATTGGCTATTGTAATTCTCTGGGAGGGCTTGGAAACTGGAGGGCATTTTGAGATCTAGTGACTAACTCAATCAAGACACCTGGGCTAGGGGTATTCGCATGTAGATGTATGACTCATCGCCAGGAGGCCAGGTTGAATAGAGAGTCTTTGTGAGGACGTGCTGTCCGTTGGTGCGAGGGGGAGGGGGGGTTTCAGGTATGTGACCAGGTGGCTGGTTTGAAATGGAGTCTGCTGCTTTTGTGTGACCATGTGCTTGGAACAAAATGGAGTCTGCTGCTTGCTGTGGCCGTGTGCTTAGAGCAAAATTGCGTTTGCTGGACATGGGAACACCTCAGGAATAGCAACCATAAGAGGAAACAGTGTCTCTGGTATGTATCCTATTGGGAGCTCACAGCATGTCAGTTTCTGGCACAGTCTGTCATTGGCACACTTCATCAGGTACAGCGATGGCACACTTCATCAGGTACAGTAACTCAGTTCATAAAAACACCATGGCAGGCGTGCAGGCTTACAATGTTCCTGGCTTAAGGTGGCTGGCCTCCTTTTTCATGTGTCTTATTTGATTTCTTTCCCTTGCTTATAAATGACTTGGGGATTTTTAAAGGTGGTCATTTTTTAAAAAAAGGATTAACTGCACTGTCATCCCCCCTTCTGTTGATTATTTGTTCAAAACTCTTCTCTCCCTCACACACAGGCATAGGTTCTCTTTGTGGTGAAGCCATAGTGGATTTCAGAAAGCAAGTATATCCTGTAAAGTACAGCCATATTTAAATAAACAGTTGAAGTGTTCAGTATTTGCATTTCGCTTTTATTTTATTTTTGCTGGGGTCTTTTGCTTGCTCGGCATAGCTGGCTTATAAAATCCGTACTGCTGATGGGTTCTGAGTTTGGTTTTGCTGAAGTTCTCACATGCAGCCCCAGCCTCTGTCCAGGGGTGGGAGGTGGCTGACCCAGCTGAGCTCTGAGAAGCAGCAGGAGACAGAGCTGCTAGAGGGGTGAGTGTTTTTTTATTTGCTTTCAGCTGAGGATATTTAGCTGAGGGTACTGTGTGGGAGGATAGTGCTTGGGAGTGTGTGGGTAAGTTTTAAGTTGTTGCAGAGTCCTGGCTGCTTGAGAGGGGGTGAGAAAGGGTGCTTTGTTTGACTGTAATTGGATTGCCTGGGTGTAATTTGAATAGTTGCTGGCCCTGCCCTCTGCTGGGTGAGGCTTCTATTTAAGGCTGGACCTTGCCAGAGACTCTTGGCCTGTGGCTTTTAGCCTAGGGACTCTTAGACTAGGGGCTCTGTACGAAGCCCAGGAAGGACCAGAAAGCCAGGGCCCTAGTCTCCTTATGTTCCAAGTAAGGTAAACAGACTTTCCACAAGGAGAGCCACATAAACACGAAGGATTTTAAAAGGGGGGTAATATATAATTATTATTTTTAAAGCAATTATGAAGGCAGAATGCCAGCAGGGGGTTGGGGG